AACCACAAATGTGCTGGGAGGGCCACCTCACACACCCACCACACACAGGACAAAAAAACCTCACACACACTCATCATCTGACCAATCAGGAGACTTGATTAGCATAAAATAAGCTGAAAGTAATCATTTAAGGTTGCAGTTTGTGTTCCTACTGTTTCAAGTTTGAAAACAAAGTCAAATGAGCCTCCAGGAGCTTAAGGTTTGGGCACACAACATGTCTTGACAGATGTAATCACAGTGAGTTGTGTCCACATAAAAGCTGTGATTGTAAGCCTCACAAACTGACATTGTGTAGCAGGGATCTACTATATGTGCACACCATCACACACACACTGCCACCCTGTCCCCGCATTGCCCTATCCAGGAATAATAATGCATAATTCATATCCCGAAGTCTCGTCTGGAGACAAAAGTCATCGTTTGCATTTATTATTTATTGAAAACAGCTCTCACATGATGAGTCCTTTAACAAACAGAGCTTCCAGTAAGCAGTGTACCTCTTTTTCTTCTTCTCTTGCTGTTTGTGTTTTGGCATAGATTTAAGTGGGCTCATTAGCAGAGGATGAGGATGGAAGGAGCGGAGAGGAATGGCAGGCGAGGAAGAAAGAGAGATGCAGAGAGTTAGAAAGTGGGAGATAGAGAAGAAATGAGGCCAAAGGATAAAGAAATCACTTTTGTAAAGGTATGAATTAATGAGAGGCGTGTACATCGCAAGCTAATTCAATTATCTAAGAAATGCTTTAGGGAGTCAGTTGTACATTTGAGCACTTTGTGTCATTTATAGAGTTAAAGTTTACTTTTGCTACCCAGTGGGTATTTGAAATTACTTAACTGCTTTGCAAAACTTGGAAGTGCTAATGTATACTAATCTAATCTTTGCTTTATCATTGCTCCAAACTTCCTAACAATTCTGTAGAATTAGTACAAGTACAACTTTACTAGCACACAAACAGAAACACATACGAACACTGTCACAGTTACACTTGCTGTGCGGACAGTTTGCCTTGAGGAAGGGAGGCAATTTATTGGAGAGTGAAAAGAGCTATGCTAATGCAGTCATCATTTATTCCAGAGTACTTGCATTTTTATTTTCTTCTACCCCACCCCTTCACCATCCATCAATCATCCTAGCCATGAGGTATTATCTTTGCGGAACATTCTATATTCAGTCTCCCCTTAGATGGCTGGACGCACACTCATACACACGCGCAGTCATTTTTGTTGAATCAAAAAAATCAAATCTGGTCTAGCAAAGGTTGAATAATTGATGTGTTATGTTAAAAAAGGAATGAAATAATCATACCCTGTTGGATGTTGGAGGAACATCAAACCCAGAGTTGGAGCTTGGCAGACTGGGCTGAGCAGGGTAGGGGCCGTATGTATTTGGGACGGCTGCCCTGTGAAATAATAATGACGAGCAAAGAGTTAGAGGATTAGGAGATTTTTGTTCTGCCCTGTACCTGACACTTTGTGCGTGCCCACCCGTGCTTTATACAGCATGACCAGGGCATCCTGAGCTAATACAGCAAGGTTTTCTGAAAATGGTTTTGTCTGATGGCCTGGGGAAACATTCCAGCAGGTCTGCAGAAATAGATAAATGGCTGCAGTAAAAATGGACACATGGTTCACAACAAAAGTGTTGATCTAATGGATAGATATTGGTGCCATTCCACATGCAATGCAGCTCAGGGGTTCAGCTAAGGCTTAGCACAGATAGTAAGTGCAATGCAATGATGACAGTCAAATGAAATGAAATTAACATAAAGATGTACATTTAATCCTTGTGAAAAAATCTTTTACTTAGCATTCACCAGAGTTGAAAAACAAAATGTTTTTACTTATTATGTGCTGACAAAAAAAACTAATATCACCCACGACTACAGACTATATATGCATAGTGTCCAGTTCTGAAAAAAACAACGTGACTTGGCAGATGGCTTGTAAAAAACTATCAACACTTTCAGGCTTTACTGTGCTATAACCTTGTGATGGTGATGAAATGAAATAATATCCGCTTGTTGGCTACTGCAGACCACCACCCTGTTTTGATGCCAGCCATGAATAAATACGTACAATTCTTAGATGCATGCTCACACACACACACACACACACACACACACACACACACACACACACACACACACACACACACACACACACACACACACACACACACACACACACACACACACACACACACACACACACACACACACACACACACACACACCTCTTTGCATCATTGCTTCAAATGAAGATAAACAGTTTTAATGTTTAGGACCACCTTTTAAGATTGTCCCCATTTGGGATGCAACAACAGTGCATGATGAATACATTCATTCCAAGCTCCAGTGAGAGCTGTGCAGCCGTGCATCTCTGCCCGATACCTTTTCATGACTGTATGAAGGCTGCACAGTATAGATTTCCCCATACAGCAGCAGAGGGATATAAATGTTTATTATTATTACTCTTTCAGCTTCCCATTCGCTATCTGCGTTTTTTTTTGCCCACTAGTTCCAATTTGCGTTTAACGAATGATCTCAGGGAATGAGATGCAGTGAGGTCAGGAGGTGCATGTGCTTTTCTTTCACTGCAGGGGTTTGAATTAGGATTTTATAGATACTTAGGAATACTGTACATACAAATAAAGGACACAGCATGACCAACATGATGATTTGCCTGAAAGAGGGCGAGGGGGCATGGTGATTGACCAAAAAGAAGAAAAGGCTGATTTGGAGTCAAAGTAGAGAAGCTTATTGAGATTTATGACCCCATATAAGCCCTCAGTGTGGGGGGGGGGGAAACCATAGACTGTATATATAAATGGACGTAGTGTCCGTGACGTCACCCATAGGATTCTGCAGAGTTGCCGAGAAGCCCTTAGTAGGCGGAGTCGGCCACTAACGTCTCGACAGTGACGTCAGAGTCCCGCCTGCTCCAGCCTGATCCAAACAAGGGCAAAGAGGCGGAGCCGAGGCGGGACCTGCTGCCACCGAGCTGGAAGTTCCAGAGCTAGCTCAGGCTAAGAAGCTAAGCTAAAGGAAACCTTTATACAAAAATACATGAAAAGTTATATGTTAGGTGTGTAGGGTTACAGACTACTTAACAAGCAAAACATAGAACTTAAATTAGTGATGCAATGCTGAAATGTAAAAATGTGACAGTCAAACAGTATAGGTGTTTTAATGCCATATTCACTTAATAACGCATGAACAACTTTTACAAATATTTCTATATAGTCTGTGTTGGTAAATGTCATCTACGTTGCACATTTCCTGCTGAAATACATGCATACCAAGTTACTGCGTGGCACTTTGGTTTTGATAAAACAGTGTAGTTCCACTATATAAACGTTACATTCATAATCAAACGAGACAATCTGCAAGAGAATTAGCTATTTTTTGTTATTCTTAATGCTTGTCATTCACACGTTAATAAAATAAAATAAGTAGGCTACCGATGTATAGCAGAACAATTGTGGCGATGTTCAGCTTAATAATCCTTGTTCAACATAATTTCTTTAGCTAATACTACAGCGGGCTGCAGGCGAACCAAGTCCGCGTTTCGCTGCATTCCTTGATCTCCATTTATAACGCCGGACTCCGGCGGCCACCACTGGGATAATTGGGTCCCCTTTTAACATTTGCTCCCGTTTAGCATTATGGCCGGTGTAGTGTCCCCTCGGCAACAGACCACTCAGAGTTGGTGATTACTTCAGTTTATTTCCCTGCGTTTCTGCGTTTCAATGGACACATACAAAGAACACGTGAGCTGCGTTTCTCAACAGATCCTCACGTGCTATGATAATCTCCTTTACAAAATAAGTGTCCAATAATCAACAACACATCAATGATCGTATAGTGGTAGTACTTTCATAAACAATGTGAAACATTAAACATAACAAACTGGTGTACAAAACTCACATACCAGTGTTTCAAAGGACACATACAAAGAACACGTGAGCTGCGTTCTGTAGGAGAGATAGCACCACGCTCACGTTAGCTTATTAGCTCAGATTAGCTATTGATGATCACATTAATAAATCATATAACACAAATAGCCAATCACACAAAAAACATGTTGCTGTGAGCATTAAACGACTAACATTAAACTAAACAAACACAACAGAACGTTATTGTCCTAATAAAATAATAACATACATTTTGTCCACCGACATAATACAATAGCACCTTACTCTCAACAGATCCTCACGTGCTATGAGTAGCCATAGACTATAAAAGTCTTACCCAAGGCTGAATCATAAACTAAACTGTATATATATATATATATATATATATATATATATATATATATATATATATATATATCAAGTACAGTAACTACAACTAGCTAACGTTGTAGCCTATAGCAGAGTGGACAAGTTGCTGTTAGCTGACAGTGAGGCATGTACCTGTCCATCAAAGTGACCACGTCCTAATTTATGCAAACACTTTAAGACCTAATCTAAATAAAAGGGTCGCGTTATAAAACAATTCACTCACCAATTCATAATCATGAAGGTGGAATCTAACTATATCCCGAATAATTTTGATTGCATCCAGGGGCAGAAACATGTTTATTTCTGCTGTAAAGTTGGGCATTTTAACATGGGGGTCTATGGAAATTGATCCTTTCTGCAGTCATCGCCTATCGGCCAATAGATGAACTGCAGTTTGTGGCACTTCCCTATTGGCCTCCTGGCTCTGCCCCAGAGTCTGCCGCTTGGGGAAAACAAGACAAATTGTGAAATATATTGTCCGATTCAGACAAAGATAACATGTTATATTGGTTATCGTGAATCAAGCTTTACAACATTCAGAGCACATGTGTAAACCTTTAGATGGGTTAGCACACTTGCAAGTGGTGGCAAATTGTCACTTGTCCCTCCTTTAAGTTTATCCATTAAAACTCTCCCATCCGTTTCTGAGGCCTCTGACTTGAAATGGTGTTTAACTCAGGGGGGGGCTTATTTTATTAATTCACTGTTTCCTCTGTTACAGGCCCCCTTCTACAAAGTCCACATTGCGAGAAGACCACCTCACAGGGATTTTCCCCTTCACCAGGTAACCACAAAGAAAGAAAAGCAGCACATTATCCACATGTACAACATACCCCTCAACACACACACACACAGACACACACCACACACACACACACACACACACACACACACACACACACACACACACACACACACACACACACACACACACACACAACACACACACACACACACACACACACACACACACACACACACCCCACAACACGTTCAGTGCAGTACAATGCTGACCACCAGCACAGCAAGAAATACACGCACACACATAGCATATCTTTATGAGGTGTTATACACCAGTGACCACCAACACAGGGTCTCAGTGTTCTCTAATCCACACTCAGGCTGAATAGGCCGCTCCATGCAATGGAGGGATTACACTGTCGGATTAATGGGACTTTTAATTTGAGTCATTGTGAGTGCCCTTGATAACAAGAATAGGTGTGGGAAGAATACCACCGGCTCTATAATGATATTGCTAAATGTGTGGCAACTGGACATTTCTTCTAATGCATTTAGTGTACTACACTATGCCTGTGTGTGAGGATGTATCTGAAAATGATCATAAAGCGTCTAACAAGTGACATGTAATGTAATGTAATATTAACTATACTGCAGGTATTACCAAATTAGTATTACTACTACTACGTTTACTACTTGTATCACAATTGCTACCATAAGATCTGGAAAAGTGTTGTCATGTCAAGTCCCTGGTCAGCCTGCTTGTTGGTAGCCAACTGTACAGCACTGTGAAAATTGTTATGAGCTGAACTGAATGACACAACATTTCCGTAGTCACTTTTAGTTACATTTTCAATGGAAGTAAGGTCCAACCATATACACAAGGCACCCAATTCCTACAAAGTTGTGTGCTACCTAAATAGGGCCAAGATGGAAAGAAAGGGAGAGAAAAGAGTGAAGAGGCCAACAGTCAGGGAAAAAAAGACATTGGCCTATGAGACTTTTTTCAGCAGGGTGAAGAGAGCTTGATGAGTTGATGGATGACTGGATACTGAGTGGGAAAAAGAGCTTCATAGAATTTACTTTTCCTACAGGCAATAATTCAAGCATGGATTCAAGCATACCAATGGATAAACAGATAACAGCATTGCATTTTTCTTTTAGTCATTATCTTTCTCTCCTACCAGAAACCTGACAGCTGCTCTGATTACAGAATAATGTTATGTTAATTAAATCAAGTTGGATTCATTATATTTTGCACAAGGCCAGTGCTGTGCATTATGTTTTCATCTCCCTGGGAAACAGAATACAACAACCAAACCCTAAAACCTCACTGGTTGTTAATTAATTTTACTTATTAAAACCACACTGTTAAGCTTGCCCTTCAAACCTGGCTTTTCCAAAACTGCTGGTTGGAATTTTAATCAATCCCTTTCCTTAAAATAAAAATGTAAAAAGTTCAACAGTAGTCCCAACAACAGAGAACATTGGTGTTTTTACAACTGTATTTTAATGTTGGGAAATTATTTGAACATCAGTTAGATAACTTTAAAAGACCTAAATCTTTCTGCTGTTGGCTCTACTCCAACCTCATTTTGTCAAAATAGCACCACTGCTGAATTCCACATACAAGCTGTGAAAGTTAATTTGCCTCATCTTGAAAGCTTAGGTAGATATAACATGTTTTTAAAATACTTGTTTTCCCTTTTGTCACCCCACTGACATTCTTATTGTTTGTATTATGCCTGTAGTTTCCTTGTTGGTGGTTCAAGCCGCACAGAAAGCAATTACTTTCAGCCCAATGAAAGAGCTATTTAAATCTTTATTCGGGTCTTTTGAATAAGCTGTATGCATTATCTTATGCTAATATTATCATCATACAAGATATTACCACAGATATTTCTGAGGCGCTTACAGGTGTTGCATATTACTGACAGCGCTAAACAAGGGAGAAATGCCTTTACCTATAGAAACAATAAGTATAAGGTTGACAAATGATTACAATTGTATATATGCACCCCTAATACTAGGACAAGTGCTGAAGTTAATGAAGCTAATACTATAAGCACTTACAATGATACACATATATATAGAGGAGAGTAGTTATATCTGCTGAAATGAAAATAATAGAATACTTTTTGAAATGCTTGCTGAAACAAAACCAAAATTGTAAGAAAAGGTAATATAAGTTGCCAAATTGAACATCTTTGTAGACCATAGTAACCCTTTTTCTAGTGGAGGTATTCATTTGAATACAGCAGCTAAAACTGTAATGTTTTTAGCACGGAATTGGGATGTGCTTCAAAATAGGCAAATTGGGACAACCCCGTTGATATGGAGATGCGTTTGGCAGGGGAAATGGCACGCCTCATATATTATGCTAAAAAAATACACATTTGAAAGAAAGTCTGACGCTGTGAGCAGGAAATTGGGGGTAAATTGGCACATCCACGCAGCTTTACATTAATTGTGCTCGTGCTATTGTCGGGGTGTTGCGGGGTGACAGACAGATGGGTGAGGGCTGACACATGTTTTTGGAGGAGTTTAAAATTCAAATGCTCCTCATGTGTGAATACAGACACCTGGGGTAATCAACTGGCTGCATGTGTGTGGTTTTAGTGGCGTGCAGCACTGTATTTACCCATAAGCCTCTCTGTCCCTGCCTGTCTTGCTGTCAGGGTCTCTCCCTCGCTCTCTGGTGTCAGGTACATTTCCATGTTTTCTGACTGATTAAGAACCATATTGTAACACATTCTTTTTCTAAGAAGAGGTTTTAAATTATAGAGGCAAGGTCTTTATTTCTGTTTGAGCTCCCGGTACAGTTGATCTCAGCGCTATTGGAAATGTATTCACTGTTAATACCCTCCCACTCGTCCTTCTCCATCTCCCTGTCTCCCTCTCTAGCGCACTCTTTTTCTCAATGGTGTATCTGTGTCTTTGTGTCAGTTCACCTCATGTTATTGGCATGGGGTGTGATTCACTGTCTCTATCTCTCTTTGTTCACTTTTTCTCTCTTTTAAATATCTGTCTCCTTCCCTATCTCACCTCTTTCTTCAAAAAATCGAGACAGGAGCGCCCGCTGTTTTTTCTGACACACTATTCCTTCCTTAAATCTAAACCAACTGAGGCGAAATCAGGTTATTACCGTAGCTGTGTTTCTTCTCGCTTGCTCTCATCTGTTCTTCCATTTAAGCTTAAGGTCTATGCAATTCTAAACCTTTGAGAAGAAACAAAGGGCAGCCGGTCCGTCAGATGCAAGGGTGCGAAGTGGAATTGAAGTGCATTGCATAAATAATTCAGAAAAATAAACTCTGAAGTGTGAGATGGACATATGACAGGGTTGGTACGTGTGAATATGACTATTTGTGTGTAAGCATATGCCTTCCAGTCTCACTTTAAACTCCACATGATGGGCGGTGTAGGCTGTCTGGCCTGGTTTGTTGTGGTCAGATATTTGTGATTTTGTTTGCCTTTCATCTTAAGAGAGATATAAGCATCGACCACATGGTCTGTCCGTGTGTGTGATCTTAGAAAGAGGGAGTTGCAAATGAACTTTTAGGTTAGACAGGATAGATGGATAGAGGGAGAGGGAACAAACGGAGAAGTGGTCCGGCAGGGAATAAAGGAGGATAAGATGAGAAATGTTAGATAAACAAACCTAGATAACCTCAAATAACTTGTCTTAGAGAGAGGGACAAATGTGAAAAGCAATGGCAAAAAAGAGGGATAATGAAAGAGCTAGCAATAACATATTCACTTTTGACACAGGTGAGAAAGTTGGATGGATGGATGGAATTAGAGAGAAAGTGGTGATTTTTTTAGAAAAAGCAAGCTTCAAAAAGTCTGCTCTGGAGTGATGGATTGATCGATTGAAACGGATGGAAGAAGTTCAAATAAATAGGACAGCCTGAAGAGTTGAAGGAGAGTAGTGCAAAAACACAAGGACGGTCAGTAAACAGCATGGAAGAGAGTCAGGCAGGCACACACATCCGTTATTAAAGAAGGATGAAAAAAGATGGCAGAATGGCTGTACCAGTGATGGACGATCAGTGATGATGATGGATGAACCAATGATTGGAGGAGAAGAGAGGGCGGGGGAGTTGTAAACAATACTGAATCACCTCATAACAGAGGCAAATCCACAGAAGGATGGATGGATGGATGGATGGATGGATGGATGGATGGATGGATGGATGATGGATGGATGGATGGATGCATGGATGGATGGATGGATGGTAGATTGTTGTGCAATAGATGAAAGCAATGCAGAATAAAGTAACCTTGAATAGAAAGACTGAGGTTAAGTGAAAGATTGACAGAGGAAAAAGGTAACAACTCACAGCAATGTCAGATCATTGAAATCGAGAGAGTGAATGAAAGGATGAAGATCAGAGAGGTAGCATTAAGAAGTGATAATGAAGAAATGGAGAGACTTGCAATAAGATGTAAAGGGCAGTGAACTAAAATGATGCATGGGAATTGACCTTGTACAAGTTTTAGATGGATAAATCAGAGTTAAGCTCACACAAATATAATCGTTATTTAGAGCTGGCGGAGGTATTCTAGTTTGTTTACAAGTGTGTGTGTGTGTACTTGTGTCTGTCTATCTTTCTGTGCCACTACAAGGCTCATGTGATGGAGTCACACTGACACTTTTGTGTGTCTTCGCCCTGCCAGCGACAGCTCCACAACATTATCACAAGACCTAATGAAGGGCCACTTGTCCTCATAAAAGCCAAGAAAATAAACCAGGCTAGCGCAAATGTGAGATTAGCTTCAACAGACACATCAATTTAGCAAAAATAGAATATTTTTCAACTAAAATGCGACTATGATTTATTCAGGTGAATTATATTTTTAGCCTTGCAAGCTACAGGGAGTTCCTTTCCAGTCCAATTTACCTGATTTGTCTTTGAGCTGCAGGGAAATGGAACACCTGGTTAAAAGCTACACAAATATTTGAAACGCAAACTCTAAAAAATAAACTCATTGACCCCAGTCAGGATGAAACCCTTGACTGGTTTGCTTTAAAGGAACAGTGTCTCC